TGGGCTTAGGTTTTGAATATGTGCAAACCAACCTCCAAGTGCAAACATGTTCAGAAGTAAAGCTGCTGAGTAATAGAATTTTTTATTATTATTATTATTATTTTTTGGTGAAGGCAATACCCTTAAGATGTATGTGTATGAATTTGTTTTCAGCCAAACCTCAGAGTACTGGATAATTTTGAAACTGTACTGACTAATTCTTTGGAGCAGTATTGTGAATTAGACTAAATTTCAAATTATTCTGTTGTACTTGTTAGGATTTATTTCCTTTTTTGTTCGTAAAACCAAGACAGCTTTAAATGATACATTCTAAGTGCAATACCAAGTTGTTTTTAATGTGGAAATATACACGAGCTATTAAAACAACATTCAGCAACTAAAGATTTTTGCACTAAGTGAACATGCAGGTTTATTACAGGTCTTTATAGCTGTGCTCAATTGCCTGTAGATTATATGGCTCCATGTTTTATTCAAATATAAAGAAATGTCTTTGCATGTCCTATTTCTTGCTTAACATCCTAAACAAATGGCCCCATGGCTTCTGCATTTTTAGGTATTATGCACTGTTTGTCAAGCAAGTAACCTCTTTTCCAGAAAAATGTTTAAAAGCATAATACTTTGAGATTAAAACATTGCTTTTCAGTTTATCATAAAACACTTCTAAGCACATTGCTTATGTGTGGATATGTTTCAGCAATCACTGGAATATTTAATAATTCTTTATTTCAGGTCCATTTAATACCAATCATTTTTGTTGTCTCATTTAAAACTGTCATATCAAAGAGTAAACTAAATGCGATCTGGACAAAATTACTATTTAAGTGCTTTTTTAATTAGTAACTGTTCTTTACATAAACCATGGAGGCATACTGTTTGTTTTTGGTTTTGGTTTTTTTAAATGATAGCCTTTATTATCTATTTTCATTCTTCTTTTTCCAGTGTTGCAGTAAATTGCTCAGAAAACCAATCTAAAACAGCAATACTATTGCATTTAATGTTTACACCCAGCAATTAACAGAAGTTCTTTAAATATAATAATGGAAAACATTCTAATTATTGTAGACCAAAGCTCAGACTTTTTTATATTGCAGGGTTTCAGGCCCTACTTTGCATGAGTGAGGTCTAAAAGAATTGAATATTAAAATGTTAGAGAGACATACGTGGAAGGGACTTGGAGGGTGGGGAGAAAAAAGCCAATCTGGAAAACTGTGGTCTTTTCAGGTTCACAGGGACTTGTGCTTTGGCACATTGTAAGTACTACTAAAAATGTCATTAAAATATGCATAGTAGTGTTAATTAAGATTACTACCTTCATTACAGAAGTGATGCTGACAGCCAATGCTGCTTTTGTCTGGAGTGTTTCTGTAGAATGTGATATTCAGTATTATTTTCCATTTGGGCAACACAGAAGGTATTGCTGGCTAAGTGTGGTGAAAGACTCTCATTTCTTGTTGTTCTGTTATGAAAAATTAGTGCTCATCATAGATCTTGCTTTTCATGTGTTTTTAGTCCTAAGTTTTATACCAAAAACAAAACTGCTGCTTTTTTTATCACTGGTGCAATTTGAAATGATTGTGACCAGGTATCTTGGTGTAATGATGGTATCTTTCCAACTTGCTGCTCTGCATCTCTAAATTATCTGGGAGAGTATATAAAAGAATTGTTGTAAAGATATATAAATGACATGGAAATGGTATTATCAACAGTATGGACTAATTCTTGCCATGATGTTTAAAAAAAAAAATCCAAACTCTCATATTTGCATAAAATTTATAAAAATCCCCAAACCAACAAACCAAAAAAACTGCACAACCCGTGACCTCCATGGGGAGGGTACAATTACTAATTGTTTAGGAGTGATTCCTATGGTAAAACCAGCTAGTGAGTGGGGTGCTGGATGCAGAACTCTCTGAGGGGGAAGGGGAGGCTCTGCTGGTATGACAGTGTTAGAAAAACAAACCCATTTCTGATGCAGTACTTGTTTTGCAACAATGCTGAAATTGGAAAGGCTTTTCAGAGACGATAATTTACTGCTTAAGAACTCTCTTAGCATCTTTTCTGTTAGCTTGTATCTGTGGGGGGAATGTCCAGTAGCAAATGCTCTTTTCTGGACAGAAGCATAAGGTGTTCATGTCCTAAAGCTAGGTAGGAAGAAAAGCAAGCTCAGATTGTTTGTGCTGAGGCTGACCAACCACTGAGAAACTTATTGAGAGAGATAATAGATTCTATTTGCCCTGAGGTTTAAAAAATGAGGTTAGATGACTCTATTCTAAAAAAAAAAAAAAAAAGCAAATAAATCCCCAAACAAACTAAACTAAAATATGAAAAATCCTACACAAACTGCAACTATTTAGTAAATTTATTTTTTTTAAAAAAAAATATTGTAGAAGTGGAGAAAAGGACTGAATATTCAATTTTAACTTAATAAATGCCAAGAAGATTTTGTAACAATTTATTTTTAGGTGTGAAAACCTATTCATGGGAAACCTGCTGAAATCCAATTTTGATGACCCAAATCATGCCAGCCTGAATCTTGTTGGGGGTAGATTCTAAAATTAAAATAGTAGCTTAATTCAAGAAGGCCCTTAAAATCACTCTGATACATCCCTCTTTTGAGAACAGTTCATAGAGTACTTTCCATAGACATTAGGCTTGTATCCTATAAACAGAGTAGTCATCTTTTCATTGAATGTTCTCAGGGTAAATTTTCAGAAGAAAATTATTAGAAAGAGGGTCACTTTAAATGGCAGTGTGAAATTTCCAGTCCTACGTGGCGCTGTCATTTAATACACCAGATCTTGACTGCTATTAAGAGTGTGTGTGTATCTGTAAATACAATGTATTTTGACTAGGGCATGCACAAACATTCTGCATCTCACTAGAGGAGGTGTAGTTCTGGAAGATGGGAGATGGCTAAAGGAAAAAGTGATCCCTTTCTGTGTGCCTCCCTGTTAACAAGCACAGCACCAGCAGAGTTCCAGCCAGCCACTGCGTTTCCAGGCATGTAAACTTTGGCAAATGTGCAGTATGCCTTCTAGTCTATATATATATCTTGTGTCAACAGCTGTAATGTTTTGGAAGTGTATATGCTAAGATTAGAGGGATTTTATACTAAAATGTTTGCTAATATTGATAACACTGACATGTATAAGTATCTTTATAGACATCATATTTTGTATGTTGTTTTTGATATTAAAGAGTACATGTTTTGCTAGCCTTAACTCCAGTCTTTCAAGTTCTGCTTTGTTAGAAGGGTAAGAAATGAATGTTCAATGTTTTTCGTGGTGCTAAAGTAATTGTGATCAGTTTCAAATTATTCAGAATAAAGATGATAGTGTTTAAGTGCTCCATTTTTTACTGCACGCATCATTTTTTGTCTTATTCTTGCATAAAACTTGTCATTTTGTAATGTAATTTTGTTGTAGTCCGATAATTATTGAACCTAGTGTGCAGACTTTTACACAAAAGTCTTTACAGCTTTTATTCCCACTGTGGTCTGACTGAAATGTCCCCATTACATTTGCTCCTACATTAATATATGGTGCAACCCATTTTAAGACTAATGATTTAAAAACCTAAGCTACTGAGGTGCTTGTTTCTGAAAAAATTATCTTCTCTATTTTCCATTCTGGGGCTTAATATCAGACTTGCAGAAGCAGTTGCATTCACAAAAGGCAGAAGGAAAAATTGAGGGAGGGAGGGAAACAGGTAAGATAAGTTTGAGTGGTGTTTTAAAAGAATTCTGATTTTGCTTCATGGGCTGCCACTGTAATTCAGTGGTACCTTTAATCATTCACTGGCCTGCTACCAATTTCCCTTTGACTTACCTTGGTGGTATGAAGCATGAAGTGTTTCCTTGTTGGCAGCTTCAGTAAGTCCCAGGAATTCATTCACCTTTCCTGTGTAGTAGGGCCAAATATTTATTTTCTTTAATAAATATATCTGATGATATGGGTGAAATATCCCCTTTTCATCTGGGGTTATTCTCTAGGCTGCTTTTAGTTCAAATTAAAATTTGAAAAAGATGCCCAAAACCTTTATAAGTGCCAGGGTGCTGTTGCCATTCGTACACACTCAATGTACAAAGTCTCATTTTAAGTTTGTAAAACAACAGCGAGGAGAAGCCTGGGGAAGGTATTTCAAATACTGCTGTACCTTTTTCAGCAAGCCCCTTGTATAACGAGGCAAAACACATCTAGAAATGTGTTTTGACTTGTGTGTGACTACTATTATTTTATAGTTGAAATTATTTTATCTGGAATTGTCTCTACTGCTGGACGTATGAACAGAAGCTCAGCATCAGCGTTCTGCAGATACCTCGGGGCTCAAACTCTGTCCTCTTGCAAAGGTAGGCATGTGGGATCGATCAGGTTTAAACACTATCTGACAGTATTACTTGTAGCAAGCAGGTGCTTTTTTTTTTATCAGGAAGATATTTGCAACATGCTTGCCAGTGCCAGGGGAAACGGGAATGGGCTGCTCACTGTCCGTGCGCTGCTATATCCCATTATTTACTTGTTAGGAACAGCTCGCAAAACAAAGCAGTGCAGTTTGGAATGATCTTTCGAGTTGTTTGTGTCGCTTAAACTTATTAAGTGCGGTGAAACTCAGAGCTTTTCTTACAGGGAATAGCACCTCAGTGCCAGACAGGGAGCACGCACTGAGTCCTGCTGCACAGTCCATGAGCTGCTCCACGTGTGCGGCACGAATTCACACAGTTTTAATACTTAAAACTTTTAATACCAGGCCTGCTTTAACACCTGTCCTTAGCAGACCCAGCAGGTCTCTCTCTCTTGAGAAGACTTATCAGCGTGACATAACACAGTCGTTGTGGAAGACAAAGACCTTTTATGACCGATTGGCTGAAAGGTCGAATGCAATTTGAGTGATAGCACAGATTAAAAATAAATAAACTAATAAATCCTGGTTTATAAGGGCACTTCCTCGGGTACTGTTGCAAAAGCTTTCGCAGCGGCTGCGGGGTGCCAGCTGTCCCGGGAATGTCGCTCCCCAGCGCCGAGCCCCGCTCCCAGGAGGAGCCCCTGGCGGAGGAGGAAGCGGCGGTGTCGCCCCCCGGCTCCGAGCCCCCCGCTCCTCCCGCTCCTCCTCCCGCTCCTCCCGCTCCTCCTCCCGCTCCTCCCGGTGCCGTGCGCGGGGCGGAGCCGCCGGGGCCGCGCTCCCCGAGCCCGGAGCGGCCCTCGGAGCCGGCGGCGGGAGCCATGGCCGAGGCCGACCGGGAGCTGCGCGTCCGCATCATCGAGGCGGAGGAGACCGAGGCGGACGCGGAGACGGAGGCGGGGGCGGCCGGCGGCGGGCGATGCGCAGACGGGGCCGCGCTGCGCTGGTGCACCACCGGGGCGCTCTGCGCCTCCTTCCTGGGACTGGTGAGTGAATGAGTGTGAGTGAGGGCGGCCTCGGGGAGCGGTGCAGACCCTTCCCCGAGACGGGCGAGGTGATCCCGCACTCTGCCCTGCAGGGGATGAGCATCGCGGTGCTGGGTCCCACCTTCCCCAACCTGGCCGCCAATGTCGGCAGGAACGTCAGCGACATGTACTACATCTTCGTGGGCCGGTCCCTGGGCTGTCTGGCCGGGTCGATGGTCGGCGGGGTGCTCTTCGACTGCATGAACGCCACTCTGCTGCTCGGTGAGTGCTGCCCCGCCGGACACTGTCCGGGGCACCTTCTGCTTCTCCCCAGCGAGCGCAGCCCCGGAGGGAGATGTGTCGCCTTTACGGTGCCGAGCCCCGGGAACGGGAGGGTCCGTGGGATGTGGTGCTGCTCCCCGCAGATCCCCGCTCGCTGTCGCCATGTTCCGCCCCGGCCGATGGCTGACACGGCGTGCGCCGGGCACTGCTGCTCTGCAGCATCGCTGCCAAGAGCCCGGGCCCGCCGGGCACAGCCACAGCCGGAACGGGCACTGAACTGACAAAATCTGCACGGATTGACCGAGTGCTGCCTTTGGTTTGCACTGCAAAGTACAACTGGGCTTTTTTTAGTTCGCATCAAGTAATGTGCACAGTGTAGGTGCACACAACAGGCTTCTGCAGTGACACTACAGCACGTGGAACAGGAAGCTGTGTTTTGGCTGCCGGGTGTGCAGCGGAAACCTCCAGCAGTCACGCTGAGGCGCATTTCTATGGGGGAGCTTCCCCTTCCCTTAACACTCATCAGTCACCACCAGCTTCGTGTACTGCACGGGAGTCTGTGGCTTTTGACTGGAGGGCCGTACCCAAATTTTAACTTAATTAAGGTGGGAAACATTAATTACTGTCTGTAATGGTAGAAACATTTAAACTGTAGGAACCACAGTGGACGGTTTTGAGAGTTTTCTGGACTTGTGGAGACTTGTTCCTGTAGGAGCACAGGCCTGGCTTTGTCCAGGCAGAGTGAGGCTGCTCAGCCATCACGGTGCCCGGAGCCACACTCAACATCCAGAAAGGAGGGGCTCCTTTTAGTGTTTAGTGTCTCACTCCTGAATAAATTCTCAGAACACACCTAAAATAGTGGAAGCCCTGGTCTCTTTTATTTTCAAGTGCCTTTGTGCTCTAAGCTAGGGATTAAAATGTATACCAGGGCTTGCTCTTCTTCTCCTTAGTTCAGGGAACTGTGCCTCTCATAAGAACCTTGCTGTAATCATATATATGGTCAGTTCAGTTAAGATCCCTTTTTCTATTGCTAGTGCTTGCAGTTGTGGAGTGGGTTACCTTGAACCTCCCTCCTTGTGCACCTGACAAAGTCAGACTTTGACTTCTGTAAAGGAATCAGTGCACACACCTGTAGAAATGCAATGTTGACTTGAAATAGTTTCTTTTCCTGAGAATAGCTGTCTGTCAACAATGCTCAGCAAATGATGGATCTCCTTATCCTTTCCAGCTTGGTGGTGCTTATGGCAAGACCACCATTTGAACTACTGAACCTGTTCTCATTTTTTCATCTGAGGGCTGCCTGTAAAATATTTTGGCTTGTGTAGTTTTACCTTCCATCTTTCAACTGCTGGAACTCTGCCACAGAGAAAAAAATCTACACAGAGGAAAAATCAAAAACATCATCTGTGTTTGTCAAGGAAATTTTTAAGTGCTAATCATCAGGCATAGAGCTGAAATGAACTACCGAGCCCTTGCTGGGAAGTTATTTTTTTGGGTCTGAGTGGGGCACCTTGGGAGCTGTACTTAATATTCCCCATCTCTAGTGTTTTCTTCATGCAGCTCAGCATGCACACCTTCAAAAATGTTTTGAGGCATGTATTCTAAGTATCTTGCTAGGACTTTAGGGTTCTGGACATTGTTGCCATTTTTGTTTGGAATCAACCTAAATTCTTAATTACATCAGCCCCCATTGATGTTTTAAGTATCTGCTGCATCTGTGATCATGTATGGATTTGAAAAATAATAGAGACAGCTGAACTGGTACAAGCTTTCTAAGAACCTAATACTGTCTGTTCAAATTATTAATTGCAGGTTGTTTTATTATGAAGGCAATTATAAGCATAGAATTGAACTGCTGAACTTCCTCCCAAATGGTAATAAAAGCAATTTCCGTTAGCTAAAAATATTTTTTGAAATGGCTTATTTTAAGTGTAGCCAATAATGGCAAAACTAATACAGTTAATGAATTGTTGTTAAACTTCTTTATGAGAAATTTTGTAGTTCTGTCTAAAACTCCAGAAATTCCTTGGAATACATCCCTCATGTGAGAACAGAACATAAAGAAAAGTCAGAATCTTTATATGGAGATCACTTGGTAGACAAGGTACAATTACTTCATAGGATTTTAAAGAGCTTAATTATTTAGATTCTTTTAAAAATTGAGCCAAATTAAATGTTGTGCAGTTCTCAGAGAACAGGCTTGACACTGTTCAAACTCAGGTTTTACTGGTTTCACGGTGAAGTGAAATCAGAAGTTTGCAGAAAACTTCTTAGTGTCCAAGCAGGAGCTGCTGCTCTCTTTGATAAGTTTGTCATGCAGGTTTTATATCCCGATTAAGTTAATTTTTTTTTCCAACTAAAAAATGATCTGTTGAACTTTCTAGCTGCTACTGCTAACCATGGATTGAAGTATTTACATTGCATCACTTACTAGGATTATCTGCAACTTTAATAAGCATGAATTAATTTGTATTTCTTGGTCTTCTGTGTTATTTAAATGGAAACTGTAGTATGTGAGTTTTTTGTTTTGTTTTTTTAACCTTTCCAGCCTTATCCATGCTTGGAACAACGGCTGGTCTTTATGTGATACCCTGGTGTAAGCAATACCTGCTATTAACAATCTTGATGTCAGTTATTGGAGGTTCCATGGGAATTCTGGACACAGGTAAGCGACCCTGTGGTCTGACAGTTCTTTCACCAAAATAATGGGAAACTTCAAGCATACCAAAACAGTTGCTGTTTTTTCTCGTGATACATCTTAAATTATAAGAGGGGAGCTGTTTTACCTAGCTGTGATTCTTGGATTAAGCTGGTTCTGAGGCTTCCATTGTTTTTGTGTGTGTGACAGGCCTTCCTTTAGGGGCTGGGGAGTGGAGAATATCTTGTTTTCTGGAGAAGGTCAATTTGCATTTCAGTGGACCGTTACTCTAAGCAATTTTTAAATTACTCTTTTAAGGAAGCTGGTCAGGATATGGTTCATTAGTATTAGCTGGTTAAGCCCAGTAGTTCTGAGCAAAGCCTTGGTGTTTGAGATTCTTAACAGCTGCTGTTGGCAGAGTTGCCCACCTACAGCTGTCTCAGCATCAGCTGGGGTTTCACAGCACCATGGTGCCCATCTCCCTGAATTAAGGGATATTTCCCACCTTTGGCCAGCCATGCTTAGGTGTCTGGGAATACAAATTTGTTCTGTCCCCCAGATTCTAAGTCTGTGGCATATGCTTACTGCAAATGGCCTGGGAAAAAATCCCCAAACCCAGCACTTTTGCTGAAAAGCTGTTCGAACCCAGCTTCTTAGCACAGGCTTATTATTGGAGGAAGGTGATCTCAGGGGTCTTCTAAAACCTAAATGATGCAATGATCCTGAGGTGTGTTGGTAAAGTTGCAGAACAAGTATAGGTGTGGTCAGGAAGGTCAGTTGTTATACTGGAGGCATGAAAAATGAACTCCCACAGAAATGAGTCCCCTGGGCACAGCTTAGACAGGGTGGGTTAGAGATGGCTGGCTTTAGCAAGCAGTTTGCATCAGGAGGCAAGGCCACAGCAAAGAGTTTGGGCACACTTAGAGATGCCTGGGAAATGCTGGCATACTTGCAATGTGGAGATTAGGAAATGCCCAAAAGTACATCAGTTGGCAGAGTGTTCTGGCTGACTGCTGGAGCACGTGGTGGTGAAGCAACACCAGCAGCCACTCCTGGCATCTCTCCAGCCATGTCCCAGCAGTGTGTGCTGAGCCTGCTGCCCTACTGCAGGAGCCTGGGGATGCTTACTAACCAGCAAGGTACTACTGGAGCTGGTTCATCACCTTAAGGGCAGGGTTACTTCTGAGAAGGAGCTGACCCATGTGTTAGCTTAGCCATCCAAACAGCTCTGGAAGCATCCCAGCCAGGGCCTGGCTATGGTGGCTCAGCTGGTTGGCAGCACAGAGGAACGATGGCTGCACATGTGAACTGTCTGCCTTAACTCTGTGGGGTTTGAGGGAGCTCTGCTAAAGTGTAAAAGGAGCACGGCACAGGATCCAGTAGTGAAGAGATGGTTTTGCACGGCACAGTTCATGTTAAATAAACTGAGTGCAGAGCTGTATTTGCTGCCTCCAGTAAGATTGTTATATGTGGCACTTGGTTTAAAAATTCTTTTTGGGAAAAAAAATCTTGTCAGCCAATGGTAAAAATACCTTCAGTGGGTGTGCTGCTTGGATCAGAGCTCAGAGCCAGGGAGACTTCACATGCTGAGCAGGAGTAGCAGAAGAAACTCATAGCAAGGCAGAAGAGCAAAGCTGAATTGATTTGGAAGAGTGCTGAGTGACAAGGGCTGCTGTACTGCAGCACAGGAATTTGATTACTGTTTTGTTTTCCTGCACTCTTCTGAGGGACTACTTCAAAACACATTTCTGAGATCTTATTTCCTACCATTATTGTTGATCTAATGATGTTGTAGTTTGGCGTTTGCAGCACTATTGAGGTAAACCCTTCTGTTTCTGGAAAGTCATTTGAACACAGTGGGGTGGACCCAGCCCATCAGAAGCAAGTGAATTGTTATTTTTCCTGTGGTGTTGTTTAATGAGGCCTCTGATTCTTAGCACTGGGCATTTTTGCTTTTGATACTTAGAGAAATGAGAAACGTTTAAATCCACATGTCTTTTAAATACGTCCAGGGATGGTGACTTAACCACTTCCCTGGGCAGCCTGTTCTAATGCTTGACAACCCTTTTCCATGAAGAAATTTTTCCTAATACCCCACCTAAAACTCCCCTGG